TCAAAACACATTCCTGAACAACATAGTATCTTCATAAGCCTATGAAATGATGACTTAGAAGGCTAAATACTCTAGGCCACAGACCAATTATGTATGAAAGGTTTAGAGTGATGTCAAAGTGCTGTTTTAAAAATAATCACATAATTACAAAATATTGTGCAAATGTCACTTATTCCCTGACTCATCCCTGAAATATCTCAAGGCAATTCACTAAATTTAAGAAATGGTGTTTTAAAGAAGATTTTAAAAAGTGGTACAAAGAGATTTATTGTAACAACTTTAAATATTCTCTGGTATTTGATTTCTTTGCTTGCCTAATGCAAAAAAGAATGGACTGTGGGGACATCTTGCTAGTAGGCATCCTATTTCATTGCTTACAATTTGCTGACTATAAATACCAACATATCTGACTCCAGTCATGTTTGTGGTCTCTTAACTAGGCTCCTCAGACTGTGGCCAGTCCCTCATTACTCCCATTTCTATGAGTTCAATTTGGTTTATTATGTGGACACAGTCCTTGAACAAAACCACATGAAAGGACTGGACTGTGTTGTTGCTGAATTCCTGGGCATGTGTAAGTAGCAGAAAGTGGACATCCCATGTGGCAACATAATCCACATATTCATGCCAAGTCTGTGTTGGAGATCTTGATAATTACCATTGAACTCTGATCTCCAAGTGTGAGGCTATATACTGTAAATGATGAAATTAATCCATTTCTTTGTAGTCCCTGAAATCTTAAATGAAATAAATTTCTATGTTTAGTTTGGTACTGATTTCCACACCTACTGAGGCAGAAAGTTTTTCTTTAGAATGAATTTGTTGCACATTTATGTTAAGCCAGCAAATCCGGGAGTACACAGATATGGTTTCTATCATTGAGTAGTTCATAATTTAGAGAATACACACCTATTAGCCTCCTTTAAATAACATTACCTGACTCTTAAGGCTGTTGTGACGATTAGCTGCATTGCTATATGAAAAGTGCTTGATACATGTTAATTATGCTATTAGCTATTAGCTCTTGTTATCATTATAGAAATTTCTCTATTCCCTTTCTCCCTAGTGGTTAGACAGTAGTAACTACCATGTAATGAATACCAGCTGCATGCCACATATTTTATTTAATCTTACCATTAACTCTCAGAAGTAGCTTCTGTCATTCTGATTTATAGGTCAAAACCAATTTTCAGAAATTCAATCATTTGCTCAATTTTATCTCTAGTAATTCCAGAGCCAAAATTTAAACTACATTTCTGTACTAAATTGTATGATCTTATGGGTAGACACAACTATGGAAAACTGCGATTACACTGCATTTTCTCCAGCTCTATTCTCTGGGGGATTTGTTCTTTTAACCACTCATCTGTTTGGAGCAAAGAAAAATATGGAAATAGAGACCTACTGTCATTTGTAGGGCATTGAAAACAAATGCAAAGTCAATTCAATGCAGTTTTCTAACATTTTCTCTCTTCAGCTGATTTATAAAGAGGACAAGTTTGTGGCTTCTGTGAATGGGAAAATAAGCATTTGAGTGTATCATTTCCTGAATTCAATGACTTGCAGAAGAATCTATATTTTTAGGAGTATCATGTCACATTTGCAATCATAATTCACTGGAAAGTACTAAGCAATCAAGAGAGAATTGAACAAGTGTTGTCCATATGCAACAGAGAAGGATGAACCACTTGAAGAGGCACACTAAGCTTCAGCAGGGCCTATACTTGCCTCCTTGCCTCCTTGACCAACATGACCTCATCTTTAGTACAGTAAAGCAAGTGTGATTAAATTGGGCTGTCAACAATACTCAACTGTCTTATTGAATGGATAACTGCACTTTGTTTTCATTGTTTTATGATTTAAATATTTATTTGTGTGATGTATTACTTTTTCTATAAAAGTAATACACTCTTAAAACTTATCAAATTAATCACATGCTAGGTTTATTCTATTCACTTTACATATTTCATTTATCTTTAGAGCAGCTCCTTGAGATATATATTATTACTATCCTATATCCACAGATAAGGAAACTGAGACCCAAATCATTTAAGTAAAATGTCCACAATCACAAAGTTAGTAAAAATGAGAAGCCACATGGCCAAATAAAGATCTTGAATTTGGGGGCATTGTATTATATTGCTTCCCATATGCTCTTTCAAAAATTTGGAAAATAACTGAGAAAATAAAAGTCACCTTGAATTGCATTGCTAAATGATAACCACTGTCCATACTTTTAAATCCCTGTGTGCTTACAGGATATTAGGCCAGCACAACATATTATTATGCTTTTCATTTGCTATCATGAATAATTTAAAAATTTTAAAAATTCTTCAAATATTATGATGATTTCTTTCACTATAACATTTAACTATTTCCTGGTTTTAAATTGCCCATTTTTAACCATTAAAATACTACATCAACATCTTTATTTTTAAAATCTTTTATGAAATTATTTAAGATTATCTTTTGGAGACATAATTCCTATGCCAAGGACAGGATTTATTTTAAAGTTCCAACAGTTTTTGAATAAAAATTTATTCACAATATCACATGAGACTTTCTATTTTTTATGCCTACCGATCTCTTATTTACATTTCTGTAAATGTAAGAATTTTTTTGCTCCCATAAGAATTTCTAGTTTCCAGACACTTAGAGGAAAAAGTGAATTTCCAGATATCAGCTACTATTAGTTTTACAAACTAATGTTGTGCTGGCAATTTGGGGGACTGTTTTCACCCAAGCCAACCATTTAACTCCTTAAGCTCAGTCTTTGGCTTCTTCGGTGCTTTCTGAATCCAGAGTTTTATCTGTGCTACCATTTACTGTAGCCAGAAAGTTCCATTCTCCTTGGATCCCCTCCAGTCTAGTTCCACCAAGCTTTTGCATTCTCTCTGTCTCAATATTATTCAAATATGGCTTATACCTCCTGGTTCAAGCTATTTTGGTTTCATGGCTTCTCTGGTTGCTGAAAAGCAACCCCACCCCCACCCCGCAGAGAGACTTTGCATTTGAGTTCAGCCTTGTGTTTTCCCACACCTCTTCCCCTTTGTGCTGGGATCTTTGGCCAGGCTTTTACCTAGGAATTGTTGAGTAACCTGGGCATGAAGAAGCAGGAAAATCTTCAGCCCACAAAAAATGTTTTAAAGGCATAAACTGAGAAAAATTCAAGATACGGGGATGAATGGAATAGAGATTCTTCTCATCAGACCACTGAAGCTCCACTTCTCAATTGCACACTTGGTGCTAAATCCACATGGCTAATAAAAACAGAAATGACTTAGCTGGCAAATAACTTTACTTCTAAACAAAGACCAGGAAGAGCTCAGTGAGTTGTAAGGAAGTTCTGGTTATGAGGAAAGTACATAAATTATAAAGATCTCTATCCAGGACAAGTTTTCATCTGGAAAAGAGGTAGGAATAAAAATAAGTTACCATTCAGTTTACAGCCCATGTCATCTTTTAAATGAGAATGTGTGTGTGCTTTAATATTATCATTTACAGAATTGATGGAAGAAATGCAAAAACAGTGGCTATATTCTAGCATAAAACATTTGAAACCATTTTGAATGTCTGCCACCTGGTGAAGACATTAACTGGGTCAGTCTTGTGAAAATGTTAATTGATGACATTGTATCTCTTAGATTTAACTTAGAAAAATACCAACTTATTTTGTCAATCGTATGTTGACAGAATTTTTGAACCATGGGTGGGAAAGTGAATATAGTTGTTCTGGTTTTTGTTTTTGTTTTTTGCTACTGGGAATTGAAGCTAGGGGCACTTTATCACTTAGCTACATCCCCAGTTCTTTTTACTTTTTATTTTTAGATGGGTTCTCACTAAGTTGATAAAGTCCCAGCTAAACTTCTGAGGCTGAACTTGAACCCAAGTTACAGGCATTACAGTGTGTGCCACCATGCACGGTGAGATTATAGTATTTTGCAAAACACTTTAATCATTAGTAAGATTTCTTAGCAAAGAAAGTTTCCTGGCTGGGGAAAAAAGAGGTCAGAGAACACAATAGGATGGGGTATTCAAGGAACAGATAGCTAAAAGCTTGAAAGACTTAAGAGTTCATTGAAATAAGTGTGTCTTTGACTGTAATCAAAAACTTGACTTTAAACAATAAAAACTGGAATACAAAATAAACTCAAGTATGAAATATATTTGACTTCAAAGTCAAATAGACTATAAGTAAAAACATAAACATAACTTTCTAATTAGATATTGTGGCAGGAAATTCTTTGGAAATTAATGCATTATGCAACATACCAATGTCCATGCCATTAATAGAGAAAACTTCTTTCACTTCTAGCGTAATAACTGTTAATCTTTTGTACAAGAGAAAAAAAGATTTATTTTAATAGATCTTTAATGAATTATTAAATGAGTGAAAGGAAAAATGTACTGAGAAAGAAATCCATAACATTTTGTTTGACAGGGAAATAAGGTAATAAAATATTAGATGGTAGGTCCAAGGTTTGCACTTTATTCATCCGTTTCCAACTTATAACCGGAATGTATTTTAAAATTTTATTTCCAAGTTAATTTGTAAGTATTTGGAATATTCAAAATAGTGGGATCACTTCATAGAATAACCCCTGTCCCAACACACACACACACACACACACACACACATATCCTCCATTCTTCAATCACAAATGTGTGACAATGTAACATAACACAAGTTTTGGTGATAGAACTTGGTGATAACCCACCAGCAATGGTTTGGAATCAAATTAGTGGCCTTGGGAAATTTGTTTAAGTTTTATTAACTTTGTTTTATTTATTTGAAAATGAAAATAATAACTATCTCACAGAATGGTTTGAGCATTAAGGCAATGTAAGCAAAAGTCCATTTTGCACTGAAATATGACTTCCCCCAAAAAATGTTAGGCATTCTTGTGCTCTAGCACTTTATGGTTCAGTTATTTTTTAATTAAATCACTTTTTGCAAACCTTCGTGTAACCTACGTTCTATTCATCATGTCTCTATACAGAAAGTGTGCTGTGAAGCAAAAGAGGACTGCAGTCAAGGAAGACGTCTAATGGCCCCGCTGAGGTGCTGCCAGACAGTCCATCTGGCCAACAAAATATTTCTCAACTGCCTCCCCTCCCTTTCTCAGATGTAGTGATGGCTGTTTCCCAGAAATCAACATTTATCTACTATAAATCTTCTGGTGGACCCACGTGATGTTTGTACCACATTATCTTTCTTATTCTCATAATTGCCTGGACTGTATTCTTCTTATTTAATGCATATTACAGAAAAAAAAGCATTCAGCAATACTTGTTAAAAACTGTAAGGCAAACAAATATGTGCCTTGGACCAGCATGATAAATGTAGGAAAAATGGGATTTTACAGGTGGGATAGATATTGGGCCCAACCACAAGCACAGCATGGGCAAGTGGGAATTCATAGCCCAAGAGTAGATTGGAGATCAATGCATGGAAAATTAAAAAGAGGAACCCTCAGGAGTCAGGGGGATCCTGGCTAACCTGACCTAACTAGAGATAGACCAGAGTGAACAGATATCACCTGGGAGGTGAAAGAGGATAGGAAAGACAGTAGAATGAATCAGATATGGGTGATGATCAGATAGAGGGTTAAGAGGTTCTTGTTAAACTAATTTAAGACGTTTTTGGCTGAAAGTGGATTTTGTAAGAATGTGCACAGGAAAAGGTTCAGCAGCTTGACTAAAGCGTGTCAAGCAAAGTCTGTTCGTCAATATGGGATTTATTTCTTTAATTAAATTCTAAACTAGTTGGAGCTGAAACCCATATTTTTCCTTTACGGACTCAGAGTACTCAGCATAATTCTAGGAAAAGAGTGGGTGCTTGACAAATACTAAGTATAGGACAGTACTTTCCAGGTAATGTTATCACAAAGCCAGAAGGTAAAAATGGGCTTGTTTCCTCCCAAGGTTATATCCAAGGTTATTATAGTAAGAAGGAAAGGAAGTTGAGATCCAAACCACACTGAGGAGTGGTAAGGACTAGATGAAAGATCTGTGAACACCAGTCAAGCCTGAAGGCCCTTGAGAACAAATAGCTTGACAAAGATTGTTAATAAGAGTGGTTTCTCATGAACGACAAAATGTTCTGTATCAAAAAGTGAAGCAAATTAAAAAAAAAAAACAACTTTAGGGAAAAATAAACCAATGGAATCTAACTCGAAAGCCATTCTAAGAAAAGTAATTTTAGGACAATTCTATGCCTAGCAAACAGAAAGAATTAGAATATTCATGCTACCAGATAGATACCTGATTCATCTGATCTACACCACCTCTGATAGATATATAGCTGTCTTTGTTTTCCTTATTTTGATCCATGTTGACTCAACCAAAAACTTAAATCACAATTATAATAGCTAGTACTTTTTAACATGTGCTCTGTGCCAAAATCTTATTTACTTTATACGTATTATAAGGTATGTAATCATTGCACTCATGTAATGATTTAGGTACTATTGAGGAAACAGTGGCTCAGAAACTTTAAATAACTTACCCAAGGCTACACAGCTCACAAGCCAGGGTCTGAAGTGAACAGACAACATTCCTAAATCACCTTTCATAACCACTATGTTATGAAGAGTCTCCAATACAAGGAAAGCTTATTTACTTGGGCCGTTTAATTCTATATGTGTTGATATAAAAGTTAAACAATCCTCTCTCCAAATCAATGCATATACTATACTTTGCCCAGACTCATTAAAACCCCCAACTGACCTTTCTGTTATCTCCTCCTTCTCTCCTTCATCTTCCATGTTTTCACCAGATGGAGGCATTTTATAATGGCTTACCCGCTTGCTAGTGGTCTGTGGCTAATTTTGGTTAGCCATCAGTGGGGTTCCAATAACAAGAGGTCTGGCAAGTGAAGCAGTAGGGTTGGTTTGGCTTTACTTTTATTCTCTGAACCCACAACTCATGATTTGAAACAGTGCTTAATCTCTTCTTGCAACTAAACTGAACTTTTCATCAATCTTGTCAAGGCTATACCTATCCAGGCTGAGGTCATGTGATTTTTTCCATCTCCTAGAACAGACTTGAGAGGCAGCTGGAGGAAACAATAGGAGATTTGTATCCTCTATCAGGTGGTGGCTGGGCACTAGTTGCTACTTTGTGTAAATTGTTGCATGCCATTGTCACAATTGTGTTTTGAAGTGAGAAGTATTGTAATTGTCTCTGGAGGAAGCAGAATGATCCCAATTTGAGAAAAATACCCAAGTTCACACTGTTTCAAAGGACAGACAATACGTGTTTCAGGTTTTCCTGATTACAAAATCTGTGCTCTCTGCACAATGTCAGTCATATGGCAAAGGCCAGGAGTTAATTGAGAGGTAAAGAATTATGAGATTAAAACTGGTTAAGTGAATCATTTTTTTATAGTAGAAACCATCCTTATATAAGGGATCACTACTATGTGTTAGACTCTTTGATGAGCACTTTGCATGTGTTACATGATTTAACCCCTCACAACTCTATGAAATAGTTATTATTTGTAATTTACAGAGAAGGAAAAAGAAGCTTAGAAAGATTAAGAAGGAATTTACCTGAGATTGTATAACAGGTAGTCTTTCTAGATCCCTCACTCCTGTCCTTCATCTGCCCTTTATAGGACTAACACAATTGAAGTGTTTTCTTTCTTACTTTGTTCCTACTTTGCTCCCTTTTTTTCCAACATAGATTGTGAGCGAGTGTGTGTGTGTGTGTGTGTGTGTGTATGTGTGTCTGTGAGCAGTTGTGTGTAAATATCAATGTATACTTTTAAAATGTCAGGCACTGTTCTAAACCCTTTGCTTTAACTTAATTTAATCTCCACAGCAATCCTAAGCACTACGATTACTATGATTCCTACCTTGTGGACAGGAATGGGGCACATATGGGTTAATCACCTGCTCAGTGTCACAGTGTTGAGGACAGGTACATTCCAGGAACCGTGTGTATATGCTCACTGAGCTCAGCTGCCTGTGGCCACCTGAGCTCTTCCTAATACTCAGAGCCGTCATGTCCAACCCCCTTTCAAGGACCTCCAATAATCTACTACTATTTATAAAATAAATTCAAAGGTATGTTTCCTCATGTTAGAGGCTCTTCACAATTTGCTTCTCTTATAACATTCCATTTCATTTATTGATTCTATCTACTCTAGACTATTTGTCACCCCTAAACTCGCCAGTGACACCCAGCTATGGATGAATTTTATTGAGGACTGGAAGACTTTTCCTTGTCTTTTAGAATCCAAATCAATGTTCAAGTTCCCTCGATAGTTCTGCCCACAAAACATTCCTCATTTTCTCTGAACAAACAGCCCTCAATTTTCTTCTACATTTATTTAATATCTACACAGTATCACATCTTTCACTATGTCTCATACTGTGATGTTTCTCCTCTCATGTCCAAATGAAACTCAGATCTCTTGAGGTCAAGGGCTGTATTTCATCAACATTGTCAAAGCACTTGGCATTTTGTGCAAGTTGTTGATAATCAGTGAACATTGCTGAATGAAAGAGTGTGTAAGTGAATAGAAGCATTGAAGGTATTCTTAGCTTTAAGAGGAAAACAGTAGAAGTTCTACATGTTTTTTGAACTAAATTAACTTTCAGAGGAAATTAAATTCACTTATGAATTACATACAAACAAATGCATAATTTCTATAGTGCATGTATGTCTCACACATGAGTGTGCAGAATGAAACCCAGATTCTCAGTGTGAACCTCCAGGTGATTTTCCTGTGGAAATGCAACTTCAAGTCCACTGTTTAAAGACATTCTCTCTAGATGTCTAATTCTCTTTCCTTCCTGTTGGCTGGAAATAGTGATAATAGAGCAACTGTAGAAGCCACATTGGAGGATGCAGGAGCTCCACCAACACTCAGCCCAGAACCCTAAATGACTTTTTGGAGCAGCACCTGCCTGCCTACCTGCTCTGAACTATTAAGCAAAAGAGAAACTCCCATCTCATGTAGTCACTAAACTTTAGGGTCTCTTTATTAATCAGTACTCCAACCAGTATAGCCCTCAACACCTTTCTACTAGTAATAAATCCTGCATGTATTTCTGTCTTAGCTTAAATATTTCTCCCTCACAGAGATCCTTCCTAGCCTCTCATTCTTAACCATTTTCCATATCGCTTTCTATGTTAGGATTCAATTCTTTTATAAATCTCAGAACTATTTATAAATATTATTTATGTATATGATTGTTTATCTGTCTCCCTTCCTCAATTGGAAACTCCATGAGTTTGGGGACAGGGACTGTAACCTCTAATTCACCATATTAAATACACTGTTTGGCACATAGTTCCCTATAAATACATGATAAGTACACATAGCTAATAATAATAATGATAACAATAATTATCACTATATGCAGTTTTTCAGGGGTTTCACTGAATGTGTTATATACATTATCTCATTTGATCATCTTAGTAATATATAGTGAAGCCATGAATTATATCATTATCTCATTTTATTAGGGAAAATAGTTTTAGAAAATTTCAGTTACTCTCACCAATTCATACTATCAAAGCCTGTATTTTCAGGTCAATACTCTTCTGTGCATACCTATATCTTGAAAATGTGGTTAGCAAGATCAAGTGCACAATATCCAGACATTCTACAAATTGAGAAATCTAGACTTTCTGCTGATTGAGATTCAGGTCCTCCTAAATGATGATGACACACCGGCAGGCCAGTTCAATGAGAACATGTCCGGACACTGCAACAACTTTGTATGTAACTGCAGCCCGTAAGGCTGTTCTCTAACTAAAGTGCCATAGAAATAAAGCCTAAATTTCATTTATAATTTTAAAACAACTTTCAAAATCTGTGCTGTTAAGTAAAAATGAAGCATGAAGAAATTCTTTTGAAGTCTATATAATTCCCAAAGCAGCAACTGCAAGAGATTTGCTTTTGTTTTCCAAGTGTTGGATTTGAAACTTACTCATATTTCAGAACTACGCATGATAATTCTTTGATTGCGTGTTTGTGGTTAAACATCTCCCTCACATCCCACAAAACTTCAGCCAAGAATTTAATAGTTAGCAGAAGAAAAGTTTACTTCTATCTGTAAATACACTTGTGTAAAATATTTGGGAAAATATTAAATAAGGAGTCAGGAAACTGAGGGGCTGGATCTTCATAGCCAATATGGTAGACATGGTCTTCAGTGTCTATTTACATGTAAATTTAAAT